TGGAAAGGAAATGGCAATGGCAATGGAAACGTCATCAGGATCAACAACTAAGCTATATTCAGCTTTATTTTACACAAGAACCCCTTGGGCATGCCATCATTACCACAAATCTACTTTATGGCTTAAACAAATCTATTTTTAGTTCCAGTCAACATGTTGCGGTTTTCAATAATACTGAATGACACGATAACAATTAAAGGGTGAAATGTACTTTTTAGAAAAACATCTAAATCCCTCATTTTAGGGAAGGAAGGTAAACAATTGTGGGTTTGAATATATAAGCATAATAAAGGTTCACCACAGTGTTGGAACAAGCATGCAAAATGTACGTGATGTTGCACAGTTTGGTCAAATGTATTCTTCTCTAACTTGAAAACTTAAAGTGGCACTGCACCGATTTAAACATGAAGATCAGTGTACTCATTGCAAAACGCGGGTGCTGCTCAGCCTGTGAACACAGTAGTACAGTGTCTTCAAAACTGGTGATTGGTGGCATCACGTGTCACCTCGGATTGGGTTTGAGACATCAGATTTATAAAGGACAGCTTGCGTTGCAAACTGGGGGCATGAAGTTCGCAAGACATGGGACATGGGCCGGAAGGGTCTAATTAAAGACACTTACGTTATGTTACAGAAATTGTTGAACTCTGTTGAATCATTTTAAACATTCTTTTGAAAATAGTACGTCTAAATACTTCTTTTAAATGAATTATAAACATTTTGGAGATAAATCTTGCTCAGTTAATTGCACGAGCGCAATGGGAGCTTTCTGTGGTGCTGAAAACACTGATAGCTCAACAGTTTACACCTCAGCTACTCTCTATTCCCAAGAGGTCATACACAAGCTCCACAGGTATCTCTTAAATTCACCGTGGCCCAATCCCAATCTCCACACTCACCGACTTTGAGGCGCGTTCCTGCAAAGTCCAGGAGACAGGCTGTCCCCCTGTCAAATTATTGAGTGTTTCCGGGCTCCCTCGCAGACATTTTGAGCCCTTTATGAACACTTTCCGTAACTCCCCATTTGTGCAGACTTTGCCCAAGGGAATTACCCACAATTCCGAGCAATGTGACCTTAAACACCGGGTTACCAGCGCACATGAGTGTCCAGCCTGGCATATTAAATTTACACTAAAAAGCTGAAAGTTATTCAAACCAGGGAGTAAAATCTATAAAATAAATAACCACAAATATACATAACATGTTATGACATCATGGTAATGTGATATGTGACAGCCTCTCCCACTCAACCAAATCACAGGTGATGTCAGTTACGTACCTGAGGATTCAGGGTTTAAGGCTTTAGGGGGGACATTGGGATTGGGCCCGTAGCCCTGGGAACCCTATAGCTCAGTAAGATTCAATGTGGACAACTCTGTAACTGCTTGCACAGAGAACACATTCTTCTTCACCTCTTACACAAAAAGTCATTCAGTAATTACTCTCCCTAGAAGCCATTTGTAGATACCAGCTGCAATGCATTATGGACAAAAATCTTCCTCCACCAAGTTACCATGGCTGGTTATGGCATGTGTGCTGCCCATATTAAAGGTGCCTTTAGCAGTGATTACAGTTGACCCCTGCCAATTGAAACCGCAGTGAATATGGTGTGGATTTTTTCACCCTCTGAGATGGTACCTTAGCAGCTACATATTGTTTAAAAGAAAAGTCTGCTCTGCCTCCTTCAGTATGTCTCACACTAGAGATGACAAAGTTTGCCCAAAGAAGAATCCATACATCCTTTAATAAATGATAATGACAAAAGGGACAGAGGAGAATTTGGGGATATTTCAATGTAAAAAAGCTACAGAATTAACTCAATGTTTGTAGAATGTTTTCCCATTTCAGCTTGCGCTCATTAGCTGTTCTATAACTTTTGATTAAGAGTTCTTGACTTTTAAATCAGTCGAACATCTTCAAGAAGAAACACTTTTGTTATTTAGAGTCAACTACCGAGGGACGGACAAATCCTTTCTGTGCAAAGTGAGAACATCATAGAACATAATTAAAAGGAGTTTCTAATTAAATCTCCACTCCCACATACATTGATTTCTACCAGTTACAAACGTCTGTTATCAATTATCTGGCTCATGGCCGGTGCTATCCACCACTTTTCACATTGATGCCAGTCACCAACCTTTTCGCATTCAATATAATAATATTTTGATAGGAAAAAATAACTGATACATTATTATCGTTTAATAAATAGCTCTTGAAAGCATCTCAGCTGTTGGATGGAGCTGACCTACATGAGCCTCGGCATGATTTTTGCAGAATAAATGTTGGATCTTATGTTTTCTCTAAGAATTTTACATACTGGTAATTAGAACTTCAAATAACTGTGACGAAATGGTCTGTTTTACTTCATTTGAATTCCAAGAAAGCAAAGAAACGTGTGATTTCATGCTAAATTGCCGTTATATTTTCACCATGTTGGAGCTCAATGTTCATGTCGAAGAAGTTCTTTGCAGCCGCCGCTCAAACACAATTGGCTAATACGTGCTTAACACATTCAAGGTCAGTGCTTTACCCCTTTTCCAGCATATTTCAATTAGCGTTTGTTCACCGTCTCTGCTGAGGCTCCACGAGAGGCCATCAGGGCAGAATACTTGAGGAGTTATGATCTAACGAGTGGCAGAGACAGACACTTTATCCTGAGACAGCAAGAGAACACCTTCATGGCCAATCAGGTCCGGCTAATGAGACAAGATGGGCCAGGACGGTGCCACAGCCATTACAGCCACAGTCTGTCAGCACTTTGGTAATGAAGAGACCGTTGAAGGAAAAACTGTTAGAAAAGAGAACAAGCACGAATTCAGATTGGAACAAAAGAGAAGTTTAGACATGACGGGAAGTGTTTGAACCATTACTGAAACTTCCAAACAGTCAATATGATTGATAGTGTACATGTGCCATATGTGCATATAGCCGTGCAAAAACCTAGTTCCAGATCTTTAATCCACTTTCAATGCACTGGGCTTTGTGTGGGCGCATTACTTAAGTATTTAATGTACTAGATGCATTTAAATGTATTAGACTTTTACTGTCCATTTTTCAGGTTTGTCCAATTCAAACTGATTATAATTAATCACAGGGTAATTCATTCAATTTAGTTTTTGATTGCCCATTTTAAATGAATCTCTTGTGCGTCCAAATGAAGCTTTTTCAATTTTCACCACAAGAGGGCAGGCAGTGACCTGTAATGGGGAAGTGCATTGCTGGAGATGCTGAGGGTGAGCTTGATGAACATGCTTTATGGCAGCCTTGTGGATTTTATTCAACTTTGAAGATTTTGGTTATCAGTGGGAGCCAGACTCTCAGGCTGTATGACCTGATATGAAAAGTTCAATTTTGTCATGCGGTGCTCTACATCGAGACCCACCAGTGAGCCATATTCATGACATGACATGTAGGCTGCTATATTTATTCTAGAAGTGGCCAAGTTGCAGTTTCATTTACAGGGAAATGTTGCAGCTGCCTGCAACATTGACACTTAAGATTGTAGCACCTGATCACATGCATCAAAGATGAATGCTCTTTTACTCTACTTTTTTGTAGTTTAGGACCGGCAGTAAATCTCTCATTTAATTATTTTCGAATATAGATGAACTCTTGTATTTCCTCTCGCCCTATCGTTGATTGTTTTCACCACTCATTGCTTATTTGAAGGATTAAAGGAAATAAACATTATTATGTTGGTGAATTGATTGGATAACCCCCCCCCTCCAATCAGGCCCTTCTTCCATCCATCACCCCTTCTGCCATTCTCAGCGATGATGTGCATTAATCAAGATGTGATTATTGTCTGCTATCAAAGTGTGCACTTAAAATATGTACATTTTATCTGTCTTGAGTGACAACATAAAACAATGCAATAACTGTTCACAGAACTTAGATGGTGGGAAGTGTAGCTCCATCTTATCATGTCAAATTCTCAACTCTATAAAAAGCATTATCCTCTCTCGTGGTTTATTATAACAGACAGCAGCGCCCCTGAACGCCACTAGGCGACACACTAAGATTGGAGGATGTTGTTTTTAACCAGCGAACATGCCATAAGACTCTCTAGCTATTGCATTCATCAAATGCAAAAGGTTTGTTTCCAAACCTCTTAATATCAATCTAATCAGACATTTGAGTTCGTATCTGCAGAGGTCCTTAGCTCACTTCCTCATTTACATTCCACACTGGCACCGTGCTATGGAAATTAATATGCAGTTCAAATAAATCATAGTGTAATATACTTGTCATGCAAGGCCGTTTTAGGTTATTGCAGGATGGCGAGACTGGACCTGCTTCACTGCGAAAATTACCATTTTTCTTTTTTTCTTTTTTCTCAAAGCAAGTGGGAGAACAATGTGTCGCTAGAACACGATGTCCACTTGTTTCCACTGCAGATCTGCTGAACGATTCTCTCTAAATAAGCGACAGGAAATTTCACTTAATCGTGGTGGTGTTTTTATTTAAAGGTATTATTGTTCAAACCGCGGTAGAAATCAGTTACACCACCGTCACACCGTTTGCACATTTCATCCTTTATGATTTAAGAGAAAACTACCTGCTAGATGAAATAACTGCATTCGGATTATTTTTTTCTCATATCCTCCAGTATCCTCGCTTGTGCAGCCTAGTTATGTTTCCGTGTGTATTCGGTTTATATGTTGCTGGGTCCGGGTTGCATTCCTCTACGACAGTAAAATAGTTGAGCCATTTCCGCCTTTGTACCGACAGGCGAGTGAAACAAAAGGCTGATCTGTTGTGCGCAGATTTCAGCACCACAGAAGGTGGACAGCGCTCTCGGGAAGCCTTTGTGAGGATGGACAGCTCCCACCGACACACACACACACACACGCACACACACACACACACACACACACACACACACACACACACACACAC